TAGGCAACCTTGGCTCTTTTATGACTCGTGGACTTCAACTCCCAGAATTCCTGAGCCAGCCATGCTGAGGGGAAAGGGAGAGGTTTCCAAGCTGAGCCATGCGGGCTCAGGAATTCTGGGAGTTGAAGTCCACGAGTCATAAAAGAGCCAAGGTTGCCTACCCCTGGCCTAGGGGCAATAAAGGGGGAAGCACCAAGCACTAAGCACTAAGGCAAACAACAGGGACCGCAGCCTCACGGACAGACAATTGCTACGGTTTTTATTGTTTTATTTTTATTGTTGCAATAGAAAGTGGCCTTTTGAAGCAGGAATTCCTACAAAAGCACCTTAAAACTCTGTTCTTAATATGAGACAAGGATCAGGCTCAAGGTCTTGACTTAAAACCAAGTTAGAAAATGATAGGGAAATTCTAAGGCTGGGCAGCCTGTTTTCCTCCACCTCTTGAAACCGCAGCCCTGAGGTTAGTAGCAGAGCTACCTCAGCTCCTTCCAGAGCAGAATGTTGTCATGCATCCATCCTGCCTCATCCACAGGCCGCTTGCACACACCATCTTCCACTGAGGGCCCATCCATAGTTTCCCAACGCCACTTTCCAACTTTTTTTTGTGGCCACAGAAAATCCATGAAACAGAGAGGAAGGTGGCACAACACCTTTTGAATGGTGCTGCTGTTTTTCTGCGCCTGAAAACACCCCAAGGTAATATCTGTGTACCTTTAGTTAGTCTCATAATTTTTTTCTGATCTCTTCCTAAAAGAGATTGACAGAAGATACGTGTTGTCGCTCACCCCAAATGTTCTTGGCTGAATCCCAAGAAATTTCTGTAACAAGGGTGCTGTCTCCAACATGTTTTCCACTACTGGTTATAGCTTCTGTGGTGTAGCATCTATGAGTGTTGCTGAGTAAGTAGGAGTTAGGAAAACAAAGGTTCATGTCACATCATTTGTAAGTTTTCAGCTGGTCAGTTTAGCTAGAATTCCAACCTTACTATCATTCCTAAGGATCTAAAAAGCAAATTGCAAGAAATATATTTGTAGTTTCCTTTCTTCCGTTCAACCTATTATGTCCATTTCATAAATAAGGTTCTATCCATTCACACTTAGACTGCAGTCTTATGCCAGAGAGTATGTTCTTTGTAAGCATATACATAAACTTACATTGTTACTTTTGAATTAAGAATCTTTAAATTAAGGTTAATATCAGCTCTTTGAGGTGGGCCTGGTCAAGACACAGATACCACCAGGGATACAAAAATGTTTGCCTAATTTCTATGCTACCCATCTCACTCATATAGAGACTTTGGGCAGCCTACAATATAATAAAAGATAAAGAATGCTGGAAAACAATTAAAATTAGTAAACTTGAATAGATTCAATTTCTATGTTGTAGGATATATTCACAAGACCTTAAAAGGCTAGTAGCAGCCTTTCCTTCTGTCTCCTCTCATACCAACCGGAATGAAAATGGGGTTATTTTGAATCTTTGTCTCCTGGTCTCCCTCTTTCTAGGATTGAGCTGTCATTTGTTTTCTTTAAACCACTCTCCCAGCAGATCCTGCATACGTCTGTCAAGACTAGCTTCACACTCCTTTTCATTTCATAGTAGCTCTGCTCTCTAGATTCTATGTTCCATCTTCTGCCTGGATTGAAGGACATCTTTGAAGTTTTTACTGGGATGGAACTGGTCTAAAATATTTCTGTACTGAATAGTTGGTACTTCAAACTAAATGAAAGACCAGGAGGACTGTCCATATTAAGGGGGATTGTTCCTATTGACCTGGATATCTTTGGACCACCAGTCTCTGCCCCAGATAGCCCAGCACTCACCTATGTCACTGCCTGTAGCATAGAACTTAATTCTTTTCCCCCAGAGTTTTTCATCAAGTATTCTCTTCCCGTTGAGGATAGACAGATGATTCTGTTTGGACAGAGCATTGTTACAGTGAAGGAAGTGTCCCAATCCCTCCCTTACCAGATCACTCTTTCTGTAGTGTGCAGCTTTCAACACAACACTTTTTGGGCAATACCAAACATAAAATTTTGATTTTATTATGTTAAAAAAGCACAGTAAGTTGAAACAGGTTTGATTGCAACCATTGAGTCAATAGCTCCCAAGCATTGAGTGACTTTCTTATATTTACATGTGTGTCAAAGAAGCAGCAATAGAGAATGAATCAAAAAGCAAAATTAAAGTCTGTTAAACTTGAGATTTGCTGCAGAAGCAAATGGTACAGGGTAGGTCAGAAAAGAATGATTTCCAGATGAAAAGCAAAACTCTCCTTTTCAAGATCAGGCTGAAAGAAAAAGTAAGTCAAAATAGAGCCATACAAACCAGATATCTGTATTGACTAAGACAGGAATGGCGAAAGATGTGGTGGTGATTCAGCTTTATATATTGCCAAGCAATTTCCCCTCCATGCCTTTTAAAATTACATTACAATATTGCATTTGTAGCAGTTATCCTTTCTTTTATGTTGTAACTTTCTACTAAAATGCTTTAAAGAAAAAAAAATAGCCTTCTCAAATTTTTCATAGCTGTATTTTTAAGGGCATAAAAGGGAAATCTGCTATACAATACATTTCACATGTACACATGTACACTTTTTTAAAAAAAGTATAAATGTATTTTGTCATATATGCTCTTTCCAAAGTATTTTTAAGGTGCTGATGAAGATATCTGTTCTTAACATCTGGCAAATGATTGATAAGAGCCTGTCTGAATGGGAAACATGGTGAGGACCCTTCTCCACAAAAGAGTTAGGGCTACCCATCCAACTTTTAGCTGGCAGATATGATGCCTACCTAAAATATGCTGTCATTTGTGGAAACTAAATGTACATAGGAATGATGGAAAATAGTACTTTTTTTTTTTACAGTGTATAGGACATGTTAAGACAAGGATTGGGAGACTGGTGAATTACCTCAGCTTTGTTCCCCTACCCATCTCCAACAAGAGTCATCAGCCAGTACAAAAACATGGATTTAACCAGCTGTCAAAATCCACTGTGGTTTTGTGCAAATGTTTCCTATAGCAGTGGTTCTCAACCTGTGGGTCGGGACCCCATTTGGGGTCGATCGACCATTTCACGGGGGTCGCCAAGCAAGGCTGTCCGCCATTTTCCCCCCCTTTTCCGGCAGGTGCCTTACCTCCCTTGGGCTGGGCCAGCTGGTGGTCGGCCTGCTCCGTCTCTGCCGCTTGCCAGCTACGCCTTGGCCGGCGCAGGGGGCGAAACCACGCATGTGCGGCGCTCCCGGGCAGGGAAAGTCCTCGACTTACGACCGGTTTAGTCCTCGACTTACGACCGGTTTAGTCCTCGACTTACGACCGGTTTAGTCCTCGGCTTACGACCGGTTGGGGTCGTGGCATTAAAAAGGTTGAGAACCACTGTCCTATAGAATCCAAAGGAAGCCCAACAATCAACTTTAATTGGATTCCTTTTGGACACAGAACCCAGCAATTCTAGAAGAGCATTAACAGCAGTCAAAACAGCAACTGGCAGGTTAAGGGAGTCATCAGAAACATAGCTGGCTCACTGTTTCCAAGCAACCTCGACTTCCTGGCCACCTCCAGTTATTAAATACTGTTCAGATTGATCAAGGTCTCTAAGTTGGGGATTGGCTCAGAGATCTGGCAGATACAGGGGAAGAGCTTAGTCTGAAAGAAAATGGACTCTCTGGATACCTGAGCAGCATAGCCCTGGAAGAACACTGATCTGAGGTGAGGAAGCCTGCCCTCTCTTCCCAACTGGTGGTTGGCTGATTCCAGAGATAGGGCAAAAGGTCACTTGACTTTGTCACCAACAGAGTACCCAATGAATGAAGCAATCATAGTGTATCTGTGGCAGAATCTGTCTTTGGATAAGAGAGAAAGTACAGTTTTAACCCTGCTACAATTTAAGAATAATTGAAGATCGCCTCAGGTATGACCTCGGGAATCAAATGAAGGCAGCTGAGGTTTAGGGGCAGGACTGTGCTGCAGTTGGGTGCAAATGAAGAAAGGCTCATCCTTTTTTTTTTTTGTTCTCCCATTGCACAACCTCTTGCAGTGTTTCTCAACCTCAACAACTTTGTGATTTGTGGACTTCAAGTCCCAGAATTCCTCAGCCAGCATGCTGGCTGGAGAATTCTGGGAGTTGAAGTCCACACATCTTAAAATTGCTGAGGTTGAGAAACACTGCCTAGAGAAAGGAAAGAAGCAAGCCTGGTTTGGGGTAAACACACAAGCCTGACATTTTGGGGATGAGACTAGGTAGCTGAGTTCTCCACCAATAGAAATGTGGCACTACTGTTTCCCCACTGCCATCTCAAACCTGAATTTAGGAACAACGTAAGTTGTTGAAGTCTTGTTTCTATGGCTCTTCAGTTATGACCACACTATATATGTAAGCCGTTTTAGGAATATCTTGAGCATCCTAATTCTACCTTAGTCTCCCCACCCCCACTCTTGACGTTTGAAGATTAGGTGTGTGAGATGTATTATAATGAGCTTTGGAGGAAGGGTCCACATGAACTGAAAAGGACATTTAGTCCCGTGCTCTCTAATTCTTGAGCATTAAAGATGTCTATATATAGCTCTCCATGTGGATGGCTGAAGGTAAGCCGCTTAAAATGTGGCAAGGAGTCAGATGATATCTGCAGTTGTGTTTCGGCTGATCAACAAAGCAATTAATAGCCAGTGATGTTTTTTGTGATAAGAAACATATTTGCAATGTTAGCAGATGAAATATATTTGCAAAGTGGAAAAACCAGCAAGCTGGTTCTGGTTTTGGAGCTCACCCTGGGTTTCCTTAATAATGTTGCCTGTTTGTTTGCATTATGAACTCAGATACTGGGACCTCTGAAACAACTTGTGGAATAGAATTGGGTTGAATATGCATATTACATTGGTTTGTGTCTATAACATAATTTGATTTGTTACACATTACACAATTACACTTTCTGTTTTGCATTGGCATATTTATTTTCTTAAATACTTGCTACCCAAAAAGAAGTAGGTTTGCCCTTCTAAAATACAGCTACTAGATCATCAGGTTTCCTAGAAGCAACGCTGGACTGCCCAGAGGTTCCAGCACCAGATGTTCCAACTGATGCCGGTGCCATGGCTGCAGAACTAGTTTCTCTTAGAACTGACTGGATCATCTCCATTTGGTATCTTCTGCGTGAATGTTTGTTGGAATAATAACAGCCCAGGATGGACACCAAAACAATGAAGGAACAGGCAACCAATATGACCATGGTGGCAGTGGAAAAGGGGAGATGAAACCCTGAAAGGAGAAGAAAATGATAATAACAATAATAATTATAATGATGATAACAATAATAATAATCACCTTGGGTGCAATCCCAAAATAACTGGAGCACCACTTGAACACCATTGGCATTGACAAATTCGCCATTAGTCAATTGCAGAAGGCGGCCTTACTAGGAACAGCTTCCATGCTGTGACGATATTTGTAATACCATTAAACATCCACATCTGCCTATCCCAGGTCCTTGGTAAGGACTCGATAGGTAGACAAAAATGCCAAATCCAGTCTGAACATCTGGCTGACTGTGCAATGATCAATAATAATAATAGAGTTGGAAGGGACCTTGGAGGTCTTCTAATCTAACCCCCTGTTCAGGCAGGAAACCCTATACCAGGGGTCCCCAACCTTGGCCACGTTATGACTTGTGGACTTCTACTCCCAGAATTCCTCAGCCAGCATGGCTGGCTGAGGAATTCTGGGAGTTGAAGTCCACAAGTCATAACGTGGCCAAGGTTGGGGACCTCTGCCCTATACCATTTCAGACAAATGGTTGCAAAGACAGAATGGAAGGTCAGAATGGCAAATCACAGGAAAGATGACAAACTGAATCATTACCAATATATCAGCTAGAAAACCCAGTGCCTCCTAGACCCCTTCATTCTCCCAAGCTTTTTAGAAGGCTGGCTGGAAATCCTATCAGATCCAAAGAGCTCTCTTCATTTCCACTCCAAACTGAGGCGCCTCCTGCTACTCAGTACCAAATGTACGCTGCAGAGGTCCCAGCGCACACTTAGGCACTGATCTTCGGGTTCAAACACAGGTTCTCTGATTAAACCAAGGCTCCAAAGAAAATCTTGGCATTTTTTACACAGAGGGAATGTTTGCTGTGTAGATAATATCTGATCTAATGCAAATGTCATGCGGCAACCGGTAACTGTACGGTATATGAACACAGCTGTGGCTTTCTCTTCGACTATCTCTTTAGATTTGAAAGGCCATTGAAAAAAAAATAGTCTATTGGAACAGCTTTTCCTGCCCTGGTATTGGTTGCTTTCCCCATTTGCACCTAACCAGAGTACAGACATGCCCTGGCAATAGATCTTTTGGGTGGTGTGCCCATGATTTTGCCCTCATTTATCAGCAAGACAGGCTGAAGTGGCCCTTAGCTGCATCAGTATTAACATAGTGCTTCCTTATTTTGATGCAGTCCAAAGGCAGCTTTCAAGTGAAGAGACCCCTTGAAGGAAAATCAGATGATGGACACTGAGAACAGACAAAATAGAGGCAGGAAAAGGATTCACAATGGGAACAGCAAATTTCACTCAGGTAAAATTTTCTGCTGAAAACTTTAATTTGGCAAAGAGGAAAAGCCCTGGGATCCGACATGTACCTCCTTTGGAGAACACCAAGCTGAGACTATATAAAGGATTTGCGCCTTCGTGCATCAGAAATACATTATTATTACAGAAAGTGCCAGAATCTGTACTTTGATCAACAATCCTTCATAGCTGAGCCATTTGTCAATTATAAGATTTTGTAACAAAGTCCTGGTTCAAATATCATGTATCCAATTAAGCCTAATCTAGCTATGAAATCTTATACCATAATAAATTAGTTAAAAGAATTCCCAAGACCATTTTGCTCTTTGCTACAAAAAGCTTACTTCTCTGGATAAAGGAAATGTTGACTTTGCATTATTGCCTATAGATTAGAAGGAAAACCCATCCTTAGGGAAAAAACAAACAAACCCTGACACAGCTACTGGTCTCTCAAGAATCACAAGTGGAATTCAATATTTGCAGACAGCTTTACAAAACAAGTTGGTTGATAATTAAAGGCTTACTCTCCCTGACAATTATGTTTACTGCCATTTCTTACAGACATGCAGCATAAAAATGAGTGATATGTTTAACTCTACTGACACCAGAGCCACTGGCCACCGCAGCAGGAAGGAAGAAATGTGCTGTTGCCATCAACAATTGCTCTGTAAAACACATTGTCATATCCATGGCTTCAGTTCTGTCCCACCTCCTGCCCCAAATCTCAACCCATCGAAAAATTGAAAAATGTGGTATCCTCACTGGTGTCATCTTCTTTCATTCCTTCTTTCCTCATGATAACATTCACCATCTGGTTCAGAGATTGTTTAGCAGCATGAGATGTGACGGGCACAGCAGGAACAGAATTGGTCACAATGGACATCAGCTTCAAGGTCCTGGAACCGTTCTGCTCCAGAGAGGTGTGAGGCTGCTCCCCTTTCAGTTCAATGGGACCAAGTTTGAGATCTCCTTCTCCAAGTGTTCCTGGAAGGAGGCAAATAAAGGCTTGGAACTCAACCCTGCAGTCCTATATATTATTACCACACTGTCTTACGCAATGCGATTCAATTTCTCCATGCTGTTCTTTTCATTTTACTTGGGATACATATGACATGATTGGTATAGAGATTTGGTAAGAAAAATACATGTTATGGACTTTAGAATTCCTCTATTAGCCTGAACTTTGCTAATGTAGAAGAACAAACAGGCTGCTTCTACTTAGACAGGTGCCAAACAGGGCCAGTAAATAAAGCATCGTTTTGCTGAACTTTTAAACAACAAACATTAAGCTCAAGGATTATCCTGCAAAGTGGATATTGTTTATTAAATTTATATACTGGACTCTTGGAGATCTTGGAGTCTCTACTAATAATTAAAAAAAAAAAACCAAAGGAAAAGAAAAAACAGTAACCAATAATCCCAGATGGCAATATCTTCATTAAACCCAAATGTCCTCTGAAAAATGTCCTGAGCTCTGTTTTTGCCAGCCTCTGGAAAGCTATCATAGAGGGACCTAATCTTGTTTCCAGGAGGCTATTTCCAAATATAGGGACCATTATCAGGGTCTCTTGCCCATGAAAGTTGCTCTAGGATAACCACATTGGATGGGTTAATTCTGGTTGGAGAAGAGATATCTGGCACCAAGTTATAAAGGTTTATAAATTAAAACCAGCAATTTCAGGACCTCTATTTTTCCCCCTACTCATTGTCCAGGTATTATTGCTTCTAGCACTATAGTTTCGCAGAGCTCCTCAGAAAACCAAAGGACATGCTCGGACTGACCAACAGAGACTGGCACCCAAGACGCAATCCTGTCAAGGGCCCAAATCTCCTCCTGGCACCAGAGGCCAAAGTGGGGTCATGGATCAGATCCACCAGATGCCTGAGATGGAGCATTCTAATAGGGAATGGGAGATCACACCACCTCTGCTCTGCGGCTGTCTCCTTTTTCTTCTTTTGCTGCCACAGCCAGTATGAGATGCACAACAGGAGCAATCAACCCCTTCGTGAGAGCTCCAGGTTGCAGTGGCGTGATCGTAGGAGCATGCCTTGTTGAGATGGTTTGCTGAGCCAACAGGTACTGCCTTCAAGTGGCAGATGAGGTAGATCTAAAAGAATCAGAATAGATACAGTATTAGCTAGTAACTTAGAGTCTTGTATTTGGGATAAGATACAGAAGAATCCATGGTAATCCCTTATACCAAAGCATCTGCTATTATTGGCATAATAATAGGCATCTGTTGTGATGCATAAGGAGGACTCACTCCATTTTAATACCTCCCCTCAATATAGGCAGTGCCAAAATTAAATTAGAAGGATGGCTTTATTCCTCACCTTTTAAAGATGATATCATATCTATATATATATGCGCTTAAGATTTTCCACCCCAACTCATACCCCAACTCACTAATCAAGTATACTACCCCTATATTTAGAAATTCAACTTCCATTTCTTCCCATCCTCTATCTTAACCTGATTGTTGGAGGCTCCAATGAAGGTAAATGTATCCAGTTGGAAACGGAGAAACCCATCTTCTCTCATGGCAAGAAAATGGGAGCCACTGTGCAGCCCATCTACAAAGCATCTGCAGAGTAGACAGAAACAACATGAATGGGCTCATTTTCCTTTCCTAGGTTATCAATACTTCTAATTATGGCTTTCTGTGTGTTTGTCAATAGTATGGCAATGATGAGCACAACTGCAAGCTGGGAGATTTTAAGTCAGAAACTCTCTCTTAAGTCCAACCCGCATCACAGGATTGTTGTTGTGGGGAAATGTCCATTGGGTGGACCAGACCTTGATAAACACCACGTGGATGGATAAAAGTACTTTTACCGAAATTGGCTACAACAACAGAATCTTGCAAGTCTGATTGTGCTGTACCCTCCTTCCTTTTTTTATAGTTCAGTGAATTATGGGAGGTGCCTGAGCCACTGCTGAATGTTATTTAGACATTGTTGAGTTTAAAAATGTTTAGGCCCTTTTGCTTAGGAAACAGCACGTGCATATCTCCATCAAGGTCATGTTCTTTGCTATCTATTGGAAAATAGGAGGAGGGAACATTATGTAAGCTAGTTGTACTAGAAGTGGTAGACTTCTAGATCTAAATCTAAATAGAATAACAGAGTTGGAAGAGACCTTGGAGGTCTTCTAAAGTCTAACCCACTGCTTTACTTTAGAAAGACGCTTTACTTTGAGAAGCAGGAAATCGTTGCCATTTTATTTTAGAAACAAAAGCAATTTCCTCCAAATTCGAGTTTGAGTTGACATGATGATGAAATAGTGGCCAGCTTCTTTCATCATGCTAAACCACAACATCATTCTATGGCTTAGACACTTCAGTGGGTTAAAGGAAGGGTTGGTAGTGGAGGTTCATTTTAGGGGTGGTAAACAATAAATAGCCATGGTTTCTACAGTCTCCCTGCAGTTCCCAAAGTGCTGCTCCCTTCTAACTGCTTTTCTCTCAGGTTTAGTCTGAGAAGAGACAAGAAGAAAAAGAAGAACTCTCTATCTTTGGACACAGTCCAACTCAGAATAGATCTGCTCTCCAGCAGCCACTTTGGGACACCTATAGGCTTTTTATACAGGGTGCAAATGTGCGAAAAGTTATGGGTCCTTCCAATGGTAACAATTATAGGCCGTCAAGTTCTCAACCGCTGACTTGACCAAACATTCTGCTTTCTCAGCTATTTTAGTCCCCAAGTGGGGTAGTCCCCACTCAGTTACAAGGAAATAACTGAACAGCATTTACCCTCCAAGTCCAATGAGTTTCCTTTCGCATATATAGGAACTTGGTTATAGATGCTTACTTCTACTAAGAAACATGAGGCTATTTGTAAAGATAATGACTACTGCATCTCATTCTGCTGTGCCCAAACTCTCAGACACTTACCCATGATTTGTGATGACCTCATATTTCACCGAGGATTCTGCACTTGGGCGAGCGACACATTCATCCACGTAGATTCTCAGTGGTACATGGTTATCCTTTCTTACTGATGCCTGGATGTTGATGAAGTCCCCAAGATAGTAAGTAGGGTCAGACATTGGTTGTGACCAGCTACCTGAAAAACAATATATTAATAGAAGATCATCAATATCACAGATAAGCAACCTGTAGCCTACCCCAAAATCTTTTTTTTTCTTAATAATTTCTCAAGCTTCTCCTTTGCCCGATGCAAGTTTCAGTGATATGGATTTACTGTTTTACATACTCTTTAAAATACTCATTAGGGATTTAAAAATAGCTATCTATTAGATTTACTTAATACAGGTAGTCTTTGACTTACAACAGTTCATTTAGTGACTGTTTGAAGTTACAACGGCACTGAAAAAAAGTGAATTTAGACCATTATTCACACTTATGACCGTTGCAGCATCCCCACGGTCACGTGATCAAAATTCGGATGCTTGGTGCCGTTGACTCACATTTATGACGGTTGCAGTGTCCCAGGGTCATGTGACCACCTTTTGCAACCTTCTGACAAGCAAAGTCAATGGGGAAGCCAGATTCACTTAATAACCATGTTACCAATTTAACAACTGCAACAATTCACTTAACAACTATGGCAAGAAAAGTCATAAAATGGGGGAAAATTCACTTAACACCTGCCTTACTTAGCAATAAAAAATTTGGACTCGGTTGTGGTGGTAAGTTGAGGACCACCTGAACCACAACTTCTATATAAGTCAATGGAAACTGTATTCAACTTGATTAGCACACTCACTGTCATAGACTTCCAGGGCAAACACCAGGCTCTGATGGTCCACCACGGTAGAACTGAAAGGGACCCAAGTAGGACGGAGTCGAAGGGAAGAGACGTTCCACGACCTAAATTTAGACACCATGTTTATCTAGTCACATCCTTTTTGCTTTCCAGAAGATCATCTTCACTGTATGAAATGCTTTATGTTGCCCAGAGGAACATCGACAGGACCATCTGGGAGTCTGAAATCCCAGGGCTGAAGAGGTTTAATTGCTCTTCTCTCCAACTGTCTTTAGTGGACCTTACCCTGATGGAGGTAAGAACAACTGCTACTTGGCAAAGGAGATGTTGCCCTTACTCTCTTTGCTATCCTCTATACCAGGGGTAGGCAACCTTGACTCTTTTATGACTCGTGGACTACAACTCCTAGAATTCCTGAGCCAGCCATGCGGACTCAGGAATTCTGGGAGCTGAAGTCCACGAGTCATAAAAGAGCCAAGGTTGCCTACCCCTGCTCTATACCATGACTGGGGAATTCTGGGAATTGAAGTCCACATATCTTCAAGATGCCCAGGTTGAGAAACACTGCTCTATACTTTGCTTCAGGGTAATATTTGCAATACAAAAAATAAGCAATAATGTGCTTTTAGCATACAACAACAGCAGCGTCATGGGGTCAAGAGGTAGAGTTGAGCTTGTCAAGTAATTTCAGCATAAGACTCTCAGATACACTCTCTCCGATTTTTCCAAATGCATTTGCAAAACTCTATGATTATACTTTTCTTATTTTTCTCCCCATTGCGTTTTACCACAAGGAAGTTTTTTCATTACCAGTTGACTTATTTATGTCTATTAATCATATGTGTTATGTTCCCCTTTGATTTCTTTGGATATTACAAATTTAAATTCTATGCCTTCTGGGCTTTAAGAAAATAAACCCAAAGCTCCATCTTCACCTAGCTCCTGCCTACCTAGCAGTTGGAAAGCATGCAAATGCGAGTAGATAAATAGATGCCACTTTGGTGGGGAGGAAACAGTGCTGCATGATATCATGCTGGTGTTCTGTCCCAGCCTACATGAGTCCTTGTTACGCTCACAAGGAGAAACCCCTCTTCCAACAAACAGGCTGGAACCACAGGAAAAAAACAATCCCCTTTTATTATTCATAGACCTGAGTCAATGTCCAAGGCAAACAAACACAGTTCACAGAAACTCGATCCTCAACACGAACGGTTGCCTTTGGCAACCAGCACCTCCCATACCTTCCCTTTTATTATGCAGCTAAGGCGTGGCTTCCTAATGCCTTCTCCTTTGCCTTTGGAGCCGCCCCATTGCATTCCTCTGTCCTACTCTCTTTTCTTGCCAGCATTTTTGTGCATCCTGAATATCTCCCAGCTGTGATTCATCACTGTCCAACTCAGACTCTCAGCACAGCTGTGTCTCAGCCTGAGTGCGAGTAGAAGGCCAGGCTCCTTGTCAGACTGTAACTCTTGGAGCTCCTCAGAGCCTTCCTCTGACTCTGATGTCACTCCAGGCCCCTCCTCCTCCTCCTCTGATTCCTCTGATTCAGCTGCTGGATCCACTGGCTGGTGAGGAATCACAACAGCTGGCCTCATTGCCACAGAAACATCTTTGGACAGCATTGGCTCACAAACCCTTCAAACATAGATGAGTGCCGCCCCTTATAGTCAGCAACGACTAGTGGAGTAAAATCCGCAGGGACTCCTTTCTTTCCTTTCCTTCCTTTCCTTCAGGAATAATACTGTTAAACCTTCCCTGAAAAGGAATTCTGAGCAAAAAGGCTGAAACTCTCTAAAAAAAACAACAACCCTGATTTAATACTGTATCCTTCAGGGATCTATGATTAGCTGGATTGTGAGGCCCTGTGAACAAACACTCATGCCCTGGTCATCTTGACTGGATTACTGCAATGCATGATACTTGGGGCTACTCTTGAAGACTATTTGGATGCAGAACTGCTACAGAATCCAGCTGCATGGACAGTTCTGGGAGCCCCTAGTGTTGCACATAGAGCGCTGCTGTTGTGAGAGCTGCATTGATTACCAGTTTGCTTCCAGGTCCAATTCAAGGTGTTGGTTATTACCTTTAAAGCCATTTATGGCACGGGTCCAGAGTATCTGAGGAGCCATCTAACCCCAATGAGACTGGCTTGCCTCAGTTGCTCTAGTGCAGGGGTAGGCAACCTTGGCTCTTTTATGACTTATGGACTTCAACTCCCAGAATTCCTGAGCCAGCTTGGCTTGGCTGGCTCAGGAATTCTGGGAGTTGAAGTCCACAAGTCATAAAAGAGCCAAGGTTGCTTACCCCTCCTCTAGTGGAAGAGTCCTGTTGCAGAACCCATCCACTAAAGAATTCCAGCTGGCAGGGCAAGAAGAAGACTCTTTTTCACTGTTGCCTCTGCCCTATGGAGCATACTACCACTGGAAGTGAGAATTGCTCCCACGCTTTTGGCCTTCCAAAAGGGTATCAAAACCTGGTTTGCCAATTGGCTTGGGGGCCCAAAGGGGAAGCCGTCACTGATGGAGATGATTGACAGGGTAAGATCCTTGCTGTTTGTCCCTTTGGTTCTACTTTTACATATAGTTTTTAAAACTTTAATTGTTTTTATATTTATCTTTTTACCGTCTGTAAGCTGCCCAGAGTCACCTTATAGTTGACAGGGGCAGTATATAAGTTTAATATAAAAAAAGAACATTATATACTTTCCTAAAAGGAAAGATGTAGTTAAGTGCAAATCCAATTCAAATTAATTCTCAGAGCTCAGGATACTGGTAGCAATAATGCCACTTCTGATACTATAAGAGACTTTCTATGTATGTAGCTTGTTGGTCTGCTTTAAATAGATAACAAATAACAAAAGATGGATTCCCACATTTCAACATTCAAGACTCAGTCTATAAAAACATAGAGAAATAATTATAACTGATTATAATTATAACTATCTCTCTTTTTTCACCTGCATGTTATTCCATGACTTACCTAGGATAGAAACAGTTTATAGCATGAGAGAATGGATTGGTCCTGATCACCCCATCTGGAGCAGAAGGCACATAGTGGAGAGTGTTCTTATAATGGATGCTCCCTGGAAGAAGCTATCGGGACAAATAAAACATATGCAGAAGCTCATTTTAAGGTTATATTCCAAGATGACCAAGGGCCTTTCCCCACTGCTGAATTAAAGTGCCATTTGCCCATCCTTGAATAAATGAGCATGAACTCAATAGGATATAGCTGTCCCTACCTGCTCATCCTTATCCCATGTTTAATGCCTCTATTCTGCTCATGGGTGAACAGAATAGTATTATTTGGATATTGCATAATTTTGTTCCAGCATTCTGTTAAGTTGGGAAGAATGAAAAGAAATCCCAACAGACTGCAAATAATCAAAAAAATGTCCAAGGCTACTAAGATTGTGTAAACAGATTCTTCTGTTTTCAGGGGGGAAAAATCAATGAAATTATGTGAATCTTATTAAGTAGCTCACTCTTGCCAATAATCAAGGCCAAGACTATAGCTTCATCCCAAGAAATGACATCTGTAGTTGGGTAGAGGGTGATGAGTAACTTCAGTAATGTTAGATATTTTGGAGTAACTTCAGTAATCTATTAATAAATTAAGAAATGGGGTGCAAATTTCTCTTCATCAAAAACTTTGTAACTGAATATAAGGACAATTTGTTTACCCTCACCAAACTGATCCAGCAAATGATGAAAATGAAGATATATGATATAGCAGAAGAATCCGAGAAGAGAAATAACTTTCAAAATGCCCAAAGCTTATAAACAAGCAGATCATTACTTTCCAGAAAAGAAATTACAAATGAAAAAAATGACATAATTTAAAAAGTTCAAATAAAAAAGAACACAAGGAAAAAGTTAAAACAAAACAAAACAAAACAAAAGTAGATATGTTAAACAGCTTTATCTAATGCCAAATTTTAGATTTTATCTGTAGTTTGTTATTTGGATCTTTTGGCCAGAAATAAAACTAAATGAAAATGAAATAAAACTACCTTTGAAGAAATGTATATATTGTGCTATGCTTGTAAGTACCATTTATTACTGATACCATCCCAATACTAGTATCTGCACCTGTAGAACATATCCAACAATTGTTGCGAAATAATTTTCAAGACACAATTTCCCATGAGTTCAAATCATGGGAAAGCAATCATTTCGTTCTATTATGCACAAGTCAGGAGATACTTGGAATGCTGTGTTTGGGCACCACAATTCGAAAATGACAATGACACCTTGAAACAATTTCAGAAAAGTGCAACCAAGATGATGATATGGAAGTCAGGCTCTATAAGATGTAATTAAATTATCTGGGTATGTCTTGCCTATAGAAGAAATTATTAAAGATATGATGGCAGTCTCCAAATACATGAAGATTGTTGCATAGAAGCAGAAGTGAATTGATGGCAGAATCATATCCAAAGGGTTAAAATAGTAAGGAAGGAGGTTCAGGATAGACCTCCAGAGATCTAGTGGTTCTGTCATTCTACTGCTATTATCCAGAGGGGTACTTGCCTTCCTGAGTAGTATTATTGCAAAGACCTCTATAATTAAACTATTCACAAAATTCCAAACATGGTGCTATCTTACGTGTCTGATGGCTCCACAAGCAAAGAGAGGATATTCCAGCAGGAGAACATTTGTATGTACAGCTGTCACTGTACAGTCAGTTCCCAGAATCAGCTCATTGGCATTAACCATCACACCAGTCCCAAAGAGATTCACAGGAACGGTGATCACTAGATGCGAGCTTCCACAGGACACCGAAACTGCAGAAGATATAAGAAAGGGTCAGGCTAGAGCAACCTGTAGCACACTGTTTCTCAACCTTGACAATTTTAAGGCATGTGGACTTCAACTCCAAGAATTCCACAGCCAGCAATGCTGGCTGTGGAATTCTGGGAGTTGAAGTCCACATGCCTTAAAATTGTCAAGGTTGAGAAACACTGCTAGCAGCATATTTTTCCACATGCAGGAACATGCAGGGGTTTTCATAAATGGTACCATTAAGCTCCTGAAAAGATGATGATGATGATGATGATGATGATGATAATAATAATAATAATAATAATAATAATAATAATAATAATAATAATAATAATAATAATAATAATAATAATTAAAAAAAGATGAAGAATCCAGAGGATCAAATCAGAGCTCCAATCAATTGAGATTATCATTATACACATTACATAAGATGCCTCCAAGAAGTCAAGAGCAAGACATAAAGACCTCATTTGTTGTTGGTTCTCACCAATTAGCTTCAGAGCTGCTCTTATATCTGGCAGAGTAACTAGTCAACTCAGAGAGTAGATAATGGGGAGAGTGAGGGCAGCCACTGAGACCAAGAGAGGGTTGTGGCTGGTCTGAAGCCCTTATGTCATGTCTACTACCATTGGAAGTGTATTGTTCTAACACCTTCTAACCTTTGTAACCATCAGCCTTATTTGTTAAGCCTCTGCTTAAAAGTCAGAGTGTCTAGGAAGCTTTTCAATCATCCCTCATTCCTTTTTAATAAAACCAACAAATAACTGAACCAATCACATATTCAAAGCTTGTCCTATATTTAGGTGCACAGAAGCATCAACTTCAGATGAAGTAACTATTCAAGCAGACAATTAGGATCAAACTCTTTGTTACATCTAAGCCACCAAGGTATTTAGGGTACTTGACAGCCCTCTCAAGCTATTTTGTGGCTCTGTTCACATGCCAGGTTGCTTTCCCAACCTTAACTAAACCACAACTTATTCAACTGACCCAACTGTCAACCTGAACTAATTACAATATATAAATCTAAAAGGGTAATTAGTAGTTTGTGGTCCTGGGAGTTCTGTAAATTTACCTTGCATGCATTTCTCCAATGCTCCCCTTCAACTGATACATTGGCTGAGTTCACACAACACTTTTAATTTGGTTTACCCTGTTTTCCAACACACAGAATATATTGATGTAGCTTACAACTGTACTTACAATTTCTGCAAAAAAAATCAAAAACTACTTTTTTGTATCTTTTTTTCTGTGTTTTTTCTTCCATTTTTAGCTTTCTCTTTTATTCATTCATACACACACACACACACACATACACACAGAGCTATTGCAATTAACCAGACAATGGTAGGAAAACAATCAGTATTTTACTTAGCAATTAAGAAACAAACTTTTCATCAAACATGGGCCTTGCCAGCAAACAGGCCAAGTTAAGTTACTTTTTCCTAGGAGCCCTTAACTCTTATGCTAAAGAATGTGCACATATAAACTGCCTATGTATGAGTCAATAGTGAAATCAGGCTATCTCCAGAAGTAACATTTGTTTTAATGTTGACCATTTAGGTTCCCTCTTATCAGTCATGAACTTATTTAACATTCCCTTTACTGTATCTAGAGATGACCTATTTGATACCATCTAAAGTCATTTTATAAATAAAACAGCTTGAGGCACATCTGGCCCTGGATTCTATTTTTTAAAAATCCTCTGTAGCTTTTTTTCCCCTGATTGGCCCAGTTTGGAAACCAAAAATTGGTGGACTGTCATTTGCTATCTGCAGATTATTTATATTTTTAGAAACTGCATATCCCCAACCACTATTACAGTTGAACTTCCATTTAAAAAGTTCCAGTAGATAAATTGAACTACATGTTTCTTTATATGTAACTCACAGATTTTATGCACGGTATCTGTTCATTTAAAAAAAGAAAAAAAGCTGCTTTCCTTAATTCTGTGCTAACAAACCTTCATGCAACTAAAGATTTTGCACAAGTTAATCTAATTAAGGGTCCTCCAACAAGACTTGTCTATTGATCTGAAAGCATACCAAATCTAGCAAAATGCCCAGAACTAAAAAACCATTGGGTTTTCTTTCTAATTCTGAGCCAAAGTCCCCACTTTGCCCCATTTTACAACTTGGTAAGATGTCCTAATAAATATACTTTCTCCCCATTCCCAGCACTGGTTCACTAGCCTAGTGAGTTGACTGGCTTGTATTGTGAATACATTAAAGGAACAAAGCTAATTCTTCCCTAACATCAAGTAATACACATCAGCTTTAATTAATCCCCTTTAAAATTGTTTTGTAATTAGAATTGCATCTTGGCAGATCTTTAATAACAGAAAACAACTTGTAATAAAAGAACATTTAAGCCTGGTCCTGTCTGGACTGAATACAAACCAAAAACAAATTACAATAGCTGGTTAAGGAGCAATCAATTAACCCTTCCTCCTTTTTTTATTTTCATTTCTCCAAGTTGTATTCCCTCTGTACATTTACCTGAGGAGTTCTGACTAGAAACACCAGTGATTAAAAGCAACAAAGCCCATATTCTTAGATGGTTCTCCATCGTTCACAGCAACTACTCAAGAATTCTCTCAGGTGGGAACCAAGTCCTGAGCCCTCTCATTGGCTTCATTTATAGCTCATGCAATACTCAGGTGCCTTGGCTTCTTCCAATGAAACTCTATAAGTCATTTCCTCTATTCTGAGAGAATTCAGAGGTGATATTCAGGCTGGGTTCACAGCCCTTTCTGGGATAAAACACAGGCCGCTTTTTGGTTAATTCATGTAATGTACTTAGTCAATAGCAATTCCACCATGTTGTACAAATACTCATACTAAGACTTTTTGAAGTCAGGAATAGACTTTGTAACCAAGGTTTATTGAAGGTTACAAGTTCTAGTTTCTGTTAATCCAAAATAGCAGCTATTCTGAATTCAGCATTCTAGTATGCTCAATAGACATATATGTTATAATATGTTGTAAGTAAACTCATAGACAGAACTAATAATTGCTTTGGCTTTGTTTACTCTGATATTTAAACTCAGCTGTTTGCTTGTTTAGCAGACCATGGTTAAAACAAACTATATCAAGCTCACTATGTGTTATAAGGAATAAAAGAGCTATAAATGGGAGAAACTATAACAGGTATTCAATGTAATTTATTTTCAAACAGTTGTCCATGCATTTTCAACTTGTTCAACTTTCAGCAATGTTGTGTGGTATTAAATACTGGGCCATCAGATAAGAATTAAATTCTTTACAATACTGCCAGCAGAATAATCTAGTGTTAATGGCAGTTCTCCTAGACCAGGCATGTCAAACTGCCGGCCCACAGGCCAGATGCGTTATGTCGAAACCGCATCCACCCCATTGCCGGCAATGGGGGAAAAGTCGCGATACGTTGCACGACATCACGTGATGTCGCGAGTTTGACATGCCTGTCCTAGTCCACCAGCATAGCACTTCTCTATCCAACTTTATAGGGAGAGAAGAGCAGATGGACTATAGAAAAGGGGACTGGAGAGGAGGGGGGACACATCCACATCTGCCTAAAACAGCTCATAAACACTATGATCTCACACATGAGAGATCTCATGAACTCACTTCCTATGTAATATGTGCAGAGGTATTAATTGAAACAACCCTTTTCCTGGGTAAATTATTTAAAAGGACATTGGGTTCTAATTTTAACCTCATTCTCTCTTACTCTGTTGATCTTTGAAATTTGCCAGTGAGAAGGCGATTTTAAATTTTTTTGGGGGGGGGAAATCCTTTAATGAGGTGGCCCGGTGTTCTGACTGAGAGACAGCACAGCACCAAGGTGACCCAGCTGTGAGACAGCCCAATGTCCCAGCTGAGAGCCTGGCAGCCCAGCTGAGAGACGGAGAGGTGGCAGGCACAGCAATCCAGCCTGGCAGCTGAGTGAAGGCGGTGAGGTGCAAATGGAGGCCACTGAGCAGAAGTGAAACAGAGCTAGGTGGCAGCAGACCAGTGGCTGAGAGCAGCACAGCAGATCCTGAGCAGCAGCAGTGCAGAGCTAAGTAGCAGAGGAACGGAGTGCCCAGAGCAGAGACTAAGAAGCAGCAGACCAGAAGCAGCTGAGAGCAGCGTGGCGGATCAGCAGTGGCTGACAGCAGCGTGGCAGATCTTTTTTCAACTTTTAAATTTCTTTTTAATTTTAAATTCCATGTTCAACGTTTAAATCTTTTTCAATTTTAAAATTCTTTCAATTTTTTTATAAAATTATTTTCAATTTTTTTTCAATTTTTCAATTTTCTTTTTAACTAAACATTTTAAAAAAGTTTACTTATTTTAATTCTTTAGAAATTTTTAAATTCTTATTTTTTTATTGAAAATTTTATAAAAGTTTTACAATATACCTCCCCCCCTCTCCCGAACCCACCCTTCCCCTCCCCCCTCCCTCCCCCCCTCCCAGAGCCAATCACAGGGTTAACAATACAATAACCATACTCTGTCTAACATTAATCACTATTAGATTAACAAATCTATAACATCCTTTAACTCTCTTTTAAACAAAC